CGGGGCATCGGCCAATCTCTAATCGCCGCTATCTTACTGTCCTCTGGCTTAATGCCATCTCCGTCTAATACGTGGCCGAAGTAGAAGACTTGTGTCTTGGCCCACTCACACTTCTTCGCGTTGATCTTGAAGTTAGCCTCTCGTWGCTATTCCAGGACCTGCCTCAGATGACCCATCTAAATAGACTACGACAAACCAATCCAACGAGGGTCTAAACAGATCATTCATGYAAMGCTGAAATGTAGCTCGCGCGTTGGTTAGTCCAAAGGGCATCACTATGAACTCATAATGCCCGTATCGAGTCCAGAAGGCAGTCTTGTACTGATCATCAGGATGGACTTCTATCTAATGGTAACCGGACTTCAAATCAATCTTAGTGAAATACTTACAACCCTGCACCCGATCTAGAAGATCGTCTATCCTGGGCAGTGGCTCAGCATTCTTCACAGTAATCRCGTTCAAACCCCTATAGTCTATACACATTCTCAGCTCTCCTTCCTTCTTGGGGACAAACAAAACAGGTGCTCCAAAAGGAGACGAACTGGGCCTGATCCAACCTTTTTCGAGGAGCTCGTCTAATTGCTTGCGAAGCTCCTCTAACTCTCTAGGGGACATCCTGTAGACTGCACCCTTAGGRGTTCTACTGCCAGGCTCTATCTCTATCCTGTGCTGGATGAGTCGCGACACTACTCCTGTCGGCGACTCAGTTAAATCTTTGAACTCTTCCAGCAACTTGGCAATGGTTGGATSTGTGCAACTATCCATTTCCTGGCCCTCAGTGACAGGTCGAACATAGACTACAAAGACTTGCTCTTCTAATCGCTCCTTCTTTACTATCGCGCGAACACGGGAGCACTGAGACAACAATGTGCCAAGGTGTTGTCTACACCTGACACATGAAACAGGCGGGCAGTCTTAACCTCGCCTGACGGGCTAGGGAGCCTACACTCATGCTCTCTCAAATGAAGTGTGGCCCCTGCTGCCTCTCCCAGTCCATTCCTAACACTACATCAAAAGGAAGGTCATCCTGTACGAGGAGAGTCAAGGAATGGAGAACTTTTTCCACCTTCCAATCTTTCTCTAGGCGAAAGTATGCCTAGACTCCCTCTACATAGTCCTCAACTCGCATCGTGCGGTTGTCTRCGAGGACACTGACTATGGGGTCTGCTAATTTTTGGACTTTTAGTCCTWGCTTCAACTTCTTCAGCGCCCTACGGCTAATATAACTGCGGGTGGCCCCTGAATCTATAAGGGCCCCTACTCTATTCCTGAAAACTTCTACATCTACTAAGATCAGTTGTCCTYTACGCTCTTTCTTCATCTTGGCCCAGGCTGGCATCCTCTCCTTTAACTYTTTTGCCACACCTGTGAGGGACGTGCCTAAAGAGACGCTAACACAGGCGGTCTCTGGACARCTAGCTAGGCACGGGCCTGCAACCTCTGCCATAGGCTCATGTGGGTTGGGAGTGTCCTGTTCGCGCGCGCTCACTTCTCCACATGGCCTTGAAGTAGGGGCATTTGCGACCCCTACTGGCGGCTTCCTTTTGACTGCTGGGCAGCCCAACGGGCCTGTCTATACTTTGGACAAAATTTTATTACGTGGGCCAGGTCACCACAAAACACGCACTGACTCGAGTTCACGCGTACCTGTCATAACCCCTGGTCCAAACCCAAGTCTTCCCAAGGCCTTCCCTGTGGCAAGCCTGGGTGCCAACCTCCTTGAGGTGCCCTTCCACCTCTTCGCTGTTGAGACCGATTACCCTCCCGCTTGGCGGTTTCCTTGGCCGCCAACCCCTTGTGCCCCCGGTCCTCGACCTCCCATGGCCTGGCCCCTTTGGCCCTGGCCTCCTCCTCTACCTTGCGGCCTCCCTCCAGCCGCGACAGCAGCATAAGACCTCCCCTGTCCTACACTACTGTCCTCTTCCTCTAGGCCCCACTCAATCTGACTATATGAGACCTCATCAGTACCACCTTCCTCTTAACGTCAGGATCATGTGATCCTTGGCCTTGACTTGGCCAGAGATGGTACGTCCTTCCCACCTTTTCCCTTTTTCCAGGTCCTTATGCCAGAAGGTGGAAACTGGCATGGACTTCGACTCGAACAGGACCACTTCCCTACTCAATTCATCATTGGTGATGCCGACCTGTTTAGTCTTATCAAAGAAGTGCCCCCTCAGGGGCTCTGGCATGGCACGATAAAACAATTGGACCAGTTGGGTCTCAGTGACCCCATGGTTTGGGGTGACCACTAGGTCGTTCATGGTTCCCTTGAGTGCCCTTGCACTCCACTATCGTGAGTGGATTGTTTGTAGCTTGTTAGAGGCACGAATGCCTCTCGTTGGGCATGCAAATTGCTCCTTCAGGAGCTTGAGGAATTGAGGAAGGGGGGTAACTTTAGAGTTAGCAACCAGGTTGTTTTCACAACCGGCTGCGCATGCAAGAGACCTGGCGAAACTAGCCGCTTCATCTTTGAGGGCCTGGAAGGCCACGAGGACTTGCTCATTTGTCAGGATATGCTGTAGATAAATATAACTATTGACACTGGCTTCCGAGTTGTCAAAGTTCTCCTCCTTCTTTCCCCCGTATGCGTTTTGAAACTTAAGTGTAACCGGGTCCTTGCAGGGTCTGGTCTCGCCCTCTACAGCGACTATAGCTTTGGCACCCTCAATGGCGCCCTCACAAAACTTCCCTACGTTGTCCCTTAATTGCTTTACTTCGCCCCCAATGTGGGTGACGATCTCGCGCGCAAACTCCCTAAGCCCTGACCGCATGGCACTCAAGGCTACATCCTGGCTTGTACTTGAATGGCGCTCCTCCATCCAGTCCTTGCTCAACACCTCCAGGTAACCCAATATCTTGTCCCACTTGGCCTTGTCATCAGGCTGGGCCAATACTTCCTTTCTACATTCTTGCACCTATGCCACGATTGCGGTCATTTTATTCACTTCTTCTCTCCTCCGCCCCTTCTCCCTCTTCATTCTCAACTTCCATTGTAGCTTCTGCTCGTCTTCCCTCTCTCTTCGTTCCATMGGGTCTGCCATGGCTGCTAGCTCGGCGGCCAGTGCGACCTTCTCATCCTCAGTCACATAGGACTCCGCCTCCTGATCTTCTTCTCAATCTCAGCGTCTGTGTCCCTCTTCGTGCCACTACTTCCCTCTCTGCTTTCAATCCTCATTCTTTCCTTTTCTTCTTCTGCTGCCGCTTCTTCTTCAGCAGCCTTCTTCTTTTTCACCATCTCCTCCTCTATTTCCTTCATCTTCGCCGCCTGTTCGTCTGCAATCGCCTTTAACTTTGCTTGCTTCTCACGCTCTTTCCTCTCCCTGTTCTCCTTGACTAAGGCGRCCATCTTTTCTTGCTGCTCCTTGGTGTTGGGGCTCGTGTCCAACYCACTAYGGGTCTCAACCATGGTGATAAGTGTACAACCGGGTTAGTGGTTCCAGACCTCACCACGTAGACTCTGACCCCTGACTGACAAACCTATTGACTCAATCTAAGACTCACAGAACCCTGACAAGGATCCTGTCAACTATGGTCTCTAGCCTAGACCTATGCTATGGCTGTCACTACTAGACCGTTTGCTGATTTGGAGGCCTTTTAAGGAGATCCCCCAAACTCCTCAAGAATTCTTTAACGTTGCAGACAGGACGACGTGATCAGCTTGGTCTGGCCTGTTGCATCAGCCCACAACTCAGCCTTTCGGGCCTACCGTGCCACACCGAGCAGCCCGCCGGTCAGTACCGGGCCTTGGGATGGTTCGTGTCCCCCGGGACAGTCGAGTCGTCAGACACGGCCTTTAGCCTTACTAGGTCCGGTAGGGGTTTGGGTCAACAAGGCCCTCAACACTTAAGACTGCCTGGTGTGTCAGCCTACAACTGTCGTTCAAGCCCACCGTGCCACGCCCAATCCGCGTCCCGCCGGGCAGCACCGGTCCTTGGGAGGGTTAGGCCCCCCGGGACAGTGAGATTAAACACGGTATTAGCTCTACAAGGTCAGGTAGGGGTTTCGTCATCCATACCCTATCCTTCATCCACAGAGTACTACCACTGATGACAAAAGAGACTCAATGCAGAAAGAATAGACAGACCAACTTGACTCAGCAAGTACCAAGGGGTGTGTGCACATCCATAGGGCAAGGGATAGGCTGAGGGCTTGGCGAGATGTTACCAACTCCAGCTTGGTCAAAGTCTTGGTCAACGCCTTGGTCAACGGCCTTGGTCAACGCTGCTATAGGCCCCGGTCAACTCCGGTAATCGTCGGTCAACACCTCCGGTCAGCTATGGCTGCCGGCTCTTCTTCCTCGCCAACCCTCTTCTTCCTCTTCACCTTCCTCGCCTCCTTTCACCCTGCTGTCTTTTTTCTTCTCTTTTTTTTTTTTTTTTTTTTTTTCCACTCCTTCTTCCTCCCTTCGGCTATGCCCGCTTTCTCTCTCTTCTCGGTGTCTCCCCCTCTGTCCGGTTTCTCCCTCCTCGGTACTCCGTGGTAATACCCCGCGGCTATGGCCGCTTTCTTTCTCCTTCACGTGGACTGCACAGCTTGCTTCACAGGTAAGTGACAACCTTGTATCGCTCATCTCTCTCTCTCTCTCTCCGAAACAATATCGTCAGCGCAGCAGGGACGTAGTAACCCAATCTTGTATCGCTCAACCTCTCTCTCTCTCTCTCTCTCGCTCTCTCTCTCTCGCTCTCTCTCTCTCTCTCTCTCTCGGTCTTCTTCTTCGCCGTGGTCTTCTTTGCAGGGGCGCAGTGGCTTCTCCAACCTCAGGTCCGCTATGGCGGACTACTGCCTTCGGCGGCCACCTCGGCTACGGCGCATCAGGCCCTGCACACGACTGTGCACATGGAATAGCGGGTACCAGCTCCGATACCAATGCAATCAGACTCGGACTCATTCACACTTTTCATGCATGTAAACAACAACGCAACAAACTGGCGACATGCGCCCACTCAACACTCCGAGATATGGCTTCCAGATAAGAGTTCACTTTCGACTGGCTATGGCGACTCAGCGCCCAATCAACTCACTGTTCACATACACTGGATCACCCTGGATATCCCACACACGTCACTCTGAACACTCACACATACACACACACTCTTCCCACTAACTACAGCTATGGCAGCTATGGCTGCCTCTACCCTATCGCTATGCTAACTCCTCGTCTCTCGCCCACTGCGTCCTCCCGGCTCAGTGCAGACCTCCTTGCACAAGTCGCTGTGGCAGCGCTTCSGCATGGCTCACGCAGGAATGAATGAATGGCTGGGCGCTGCCTCTTGATTTATACTTCTGCAGGTCGTTGGTCTGGCCCATTTCCNCAGTCGAGTCGTCAGACACAGATCCTCAGCCTTACTTGGTCCGGTAGGGGAGTGGTTCAAACAGGCCCTCAACACTTAAAGACTGCCTGTGTTTCAGCCCGCAACTCAGTCTTTCAGGCCCACTGTGCCCTACCAACCGTTTCCAGCCGGTCAGCACCGGTCCTTGGGAGGGTTATGCCCCCCTGGAAAGTTGGATCAGCCACAGTCTCAGCCCTACTAGCACCGGTAGGGGAGTGGTCAGCAGGCTCTATCCTTCATCCAAAGAGTACTATCACCTAGGAGAGAAGAGACTCGATGCAGAAAGAATAGACAGATTGACTTGACTCAGCAAGTACCGAGGGGTTTGTGCACATCCACAGGGCAAGGGATAGGCTGAGGGCTTGGCGAGATGTTACCAACTCCAACTTGGTCAAAGTCTTGGTCAACGCTTGGTCAACACCCGTCAATGCTGCTATGACCCCCGATCAACTCTGGTAGTTGCCGGTCAACACCTTCGGTCAACCTCTTGGTCAACCCTCCGATCAGCTATGGCTGCCGGCTCGTCTTCCTCGCCAACCCTCTTCTTCTTCTTCTCTTTCTTTTTTTTTTTTTTTTGGTCGGCCTCCTCTTCACCTCTTGGCTATGGCCGCTTCTCTCTCTTCTCGGTCTCTCCCCCTCTGTCCTTCTCTCCCCCTACTCGTCACTCCGTGGTGCAAGCTTCGCGGCTATGGCCGCTGTCTTATCCTTCGTGGACTGCGCAACTCGCTTCACAGGTAAGTGACAACCAAACTTGTATCGCTCCTCTCTCTCTCTCTCTCTCTCTAGCCGTAGCGGTATCTTCAGCGCAGCAGGTACGTAGTAACCCAAAATCTATCGCTCAACCTCACTCTCTCTCTCTCTCTCAGTCTTCTTCTTCGTCGTTGTCTTCTTGCAGGTGTGCGGCGGCTTCTTCCACCTCAGGTCCGCTATGGCGGACTACCACCTTCGGCGGCCACCTCTGCTATGGCGTATCAGGTCCTGCATACGACGGCGCCCATGGAATAGCGGGTACCAGCTCCGATACCAATGCAATCAGACTCGTCTTATCCACACTTTTCATGTATGTAAACAGCAGCACAGCACACTGGCGACATGCGCCCACTCAAAACTCAGAGACATGGCTTCCATATACGAGTTCTCTTTCAACTGGCTATGGGGACTTAGCGCCCAAACAACTCACTGTTCACACACTGGATCACCCTGGATATCCCACACACGTCACTCTGAACACTCACACATGCACACACACTCTTCCCACTAACTACAGCTATGGCAGCTATGGCTGCCTCTAAGCTATTGCTATGCTAACTCCTCCTTTCTCGCCCACTGCGTCCTCCGGGCTCATTGCAGACCTCCTTGCACAAGTCGCTGTGGCAGCGCTTCCGCATGGCTCACGCCGGAAGGAATGAATGGCTGGGCGCCGCCTCTTGATTTATACTTCTGCAGGTCGTTGGTCTGGCCCATTTCCCTTGCCCCAAGTGCACACAGTCCCGTGCGGTACTTGCTTGATTGACTGGGGACTGGGACTGTTGACTCAGCAGTGTAGACTTCCCCCACTTGCCCAGTTGCCTCACCACTTGACCACTTGCCTCTGCTTAAACGTGGGCAACTCACGAAAGGCCACTACTGGAACCTTCCGGAAGGCCGTAGACTTGGCCTTTCGTGACTGTAGCAGCTACGACTCTGACCCTTCTGGACTGTAGCAGCTACAACCTTGACCTTTCGAGAACACTACAGCTACGGTGTCTAGACCTGACTAAGACTCCTATCCGAGAGGTCTACAGATCGAACCCATGCTACCTATGGACCCTGCGACAACCTATCAGCTATTACAAATACACAGGTCGCGGGCTCAATTCCACGGGTCGACACAGGTATTGTACATAGGTAAGGTTGGGGTTCTAGGGATCAAACCCTGGGATCTGCTAACTGGTGAATACCGTTTCATTTGAACTTCAACACTAGGGTCTGGCACGTTTTGGCATTGGCAAGAGCAGCGTCCAGGACGGGCCAGCACTATATAAGACTGGTCCGCCCTGCAGGCTGCTGGTCGTCACGAGGCAGTTCATAGGAACTTTCCAGGCACTTCACGTGCAGGAGTTAGGAGTTAGTCTTTAGGATTCGGCAGCAGCACTCTGGAGGAGCGCTGCAGTAGTAGTCGTAGCGTTAGCAGTAGTCTTGAACGTTGGGCGCTAGTAGGAGGTAGAATAGCATCAGAGAGAGAGAGAGAGATGGTTGGCAGAGGCCAGGGAAACTTACCTGTGGCGCCATAGCTCCAGCTTCGTCTTCGATGTACCTGCAACAAGGCGCCACCTTTACAGGTTAGTACTGGACTCTGAGAGAGAGAGAGAGAGAGA